ATACTCCCGTACATCTCTCTGAGTCTTTCAGCCTGCTCATCTCTGCAACTAATCTTGAACCAGAATTCTCAGCTGGGCTGGGAATCAACACTCAGGGCTCAGGCTCCCTCACTGAGAATCACTGATGTTGTCCCACCCCTTCATTTCACAGGTCTTGAAGTGGATATGCACGCATACACAGGTGTTTAGCACTTGCATAAAGCCTCAGTCACCTACAGAAGAGGACCAGTGAGATCTGTGGTTCTGGATGGGATTAAATGTTCCCGATTCCCCTGAGGCATTGTTCATGCCTTGTTAGCATCTTGGATGCCACTGAGCTGAGCAGTGCCAGCCCAGAAGGGTTCCCTGGAAGAGTGTCTAGTACAAAGAATACAGGTGAATATAGCTATGGGGTTACAGACTGCCTGCTGGGGAAGGGATCTCCTCAGAAGGAAGAACAGTCTGTACTTACCCACCTGTATCTTAACTTATCTGGGAGAAAGACTAAGTTGTTGGTCTTAACTAAAGCAAATGGAAAAACTTAGTTTCTTCAGAAAACTAGCTATAACTCTATCTCTGGTTTTCACTAGTATCTCTTTCTTTATGCACCTCCCCAAGGCCCCACTACTTGTGTTTCTAGTTGCCATGTGATCTGAAACAATTTCATTTTCTACACATTTAGTGGTTTGTTCATACATTGTTCAAAATACAAAGATAGTTCACACTGTGGGATTATGGGGTTCCCATGCAAAGAATCCCGTACATATTATTATTATTATTATTATTATTGCTGCTGCTGTTGTTGTTATTATTAGCTTTGCTTATTTTATTTCATGTGTTCATGTGAACGGGTGTTTTGCTTGTGTATACCTATGTGTGCCATGCGTATGCCTGGTGCCTGCAGAGGCCAGGAGAGGGTATCAAATTCTCTAAACTGGAGTTGTGAATGGTTGTGAGTCACCAGATAGGTGGTAGGTACTGAATGCAGGTCCTCTGTAAGAGTAACACGTGCTCTTAACTGCCATTTATCTGGCTCCTAACCCAGTGTGTATTAAAGGAACAGCAGATGACGAAACAGAACAACTGGGTTACACAAGACATCTCCACTGATCAAAGTGAGCACTTGCAGTGAAGAAAGTAAGTATGGCATGCTTCACTGGAAGGATTATGAAGAAGGTATTTTTACAATGGGTGTCTGTGTGTTTTGGACTGGGGACACAGAATTCATCCTTTTTTTATTATTTCACAGAAGGACAAAAGGGTAACCTCTTGGGTGGGGATCATGGCTTTGGAAATCAGTTGTGCCCTAATATACTTTTTCCAGACAAATTATTCAATGTGGAAGGAATGCAGTTAAGAATATGGTAGCATACTTCTTACAGTGCTTAGCGTCCCGGCGTGCTTTCTTGTCTGAAACATAGTTTTGACAAAGATGATAATTTTAGAAGCTGGACACACAGTACTGATTCTGCTTCCAGCCCTGGCTCCCAGTACCAACAGCCAACTGACTCATATTTTAAAAGTTGTCATTCAGGGCTCAAAGTAGATGCTTTTATCTACATGTGTACAATGGAGAGCTCAGTGGAATGCTTGGACGGGCCATTGCTGTGTTTTCTCTGCCATATTGACCATGTTTAGGGAAAGGGCCTTTGAAGTCCTTCATCCTTATTGTACCAGTCAGTGGGTCTCACACACATGATGATTTAGATGAACGGAAGATGTGAATATTTAATTTGAGGAAAGTGAGGAAGCCTTATAGCATCAGGTATCTCCTCCATTCTTGGGCAAGCTATGCCTTTTCTCTTTGGAAGCAATTAGGAGGATGAACATTGTCTTGGAAATGATGTATTGAATAGCCTGGCTCTGAGGTTATCAGGACACCATTGCTCTCAATGTATTCAGTGTTAGAGTTCTTAGGTAGTAGTCTTCTTGTAACAGGACCTAAAGCTTTGAGGAGATGTGTAATGAATGGACACCAAATTCGATCCCTTTGGTTGAGAAGGCAGATATCCTGATCTGTAGAGTCCCAGATGGAAACTTCTAAAATCCCCACGTGCAGGTTTTTTGTGATTTCTCCCTGTCACTGTTGGGTGCACCATCTTTCTTCTGCCCTCTTCTTACCCTCACTTAAAATGACTACACTACATCAGGTCCTCCTTAATCCCCACTCTCTGTGCTGAGCTGTCAAAAACATGGAAGGGGGGCAGCTACAGTTAATAAGGAAGGGAATCTGAATGCAGACATAAGTGTTCAGACTCAGCAGCATCTCCTGCCACTTTCAGAATGGCACAGCGGGGCTCTGAATCTGCACTTCTTGGGTTACTGGATTCCACTTTTGCTTTTAGCATTCTCATACTGTCTTATTCTTTGGTAGTCAGGAAGACTCATCCAAAGATTTGTTTTTGTCATTGAGATTTCCATTTATGTATTTATTTGTTTTTATTTGGGAGCATGGACTAGATCTCATGCATCATAGGCAGGTGTCAAACTTACTACGAAGACATAGCTGGCCTTGAACCCCTGATTCTCCTGCCTCTATGTCAAGTGCTATGCCATTGTTATTTCTTATGAAGAAAGATCGGGTAGATCCAGGGAAGACTGTGTTCTACAGGCCTCAGTGACAGTCTTTGGATGTTGGTGGCACAGCTACTTGGTCACTGCTCTTCTGCAACTACTAGCCTGTGACCCCTATCTCTGTTACTAAAGACCCACGCCAGAAACTAGTGTCTTGATTCTTTACTTGTTCCTGGGACAAAATACCTCACCAAAAGCAATTTAAGGGAGTAGAGTTTATTTTGGTTTATAGTTCCTAGGTATATAGCCCATCATGGTGGGGACATCATGGCGACAGCCAAGGGAAAACTGGTCACATTTCATCCACTCTACAAAAGCAGAGAGAACAGGGAATGGGGCTGGGCCAAAAAACCTCAAGTCCCACACACAGTGATCCATTTCCTCTGGTGAGGCCCTTCTTCCTAAAAGTCCCACCATCTTCTGAAATAGAGGTGATAGCTGGGATCAAGTATTTGGACATATTAGCCGCCAATAGGGGCATTTCCTGTTTGGATCACAGTCAGGGCAGTGTCAGGTATTGAAAAGACGGAGGTTTGTTTTTCTCTTCAGCGGTTTGGCTTTGAAATTGAAAAAGAACGGCTTTACTATATATTGACCACGTGGATGTCTTAAGCGCCTTCGGTTGCCCACCCCTCTGTAAAAATGGGAAGCATTAATGCATGTGTCCTTGGTGGTGTTGTGGCTGTTGAGTGGCCCCCCACCCCTTCTCTTCAGCACATCCGCTGCTCACCTTGTGAAAACTTTTGCTATGCTGTTTTGTTTCCATCCTGGTCACACTCTTGGTTTTGCCGGCGATTCTGCGTTTTTTGTGTTGAGCTTGCTTTCCCAGCTTGAGAGGATGCTCCTTTGGAGGAGCGAGCAAGCAGCTTGGAATTACTAAGGAGACTGTGCACTTCCCAGAGCCTAGGGGCAGAGTTTTAATGAGTTCTTTTACTAGAAACAGAGGAAGGAGCTGAGCTGTCCTCCGACTCCAACCTGACTAGTCCGGGGGTCTCCGAGCTGGCTGAATGTGGATGAGTGTGTGCATACAAAATGACTGGAGGTTTCTGTTCCAGCCGCTGGCATGAGAGAAGAATGACTGAGTTTATTAATGATCTTGCAGAGCTATGAGCTGACAGTCTATTTGTTTTCATTATGTAAACCAGCGTGGTTTGGGATTATGCAGATTTCCACCTTTTTACTTGGAAGGCAAAGAATATTCATTAAGGATATCAATGAAGACCAAGCCGGTGATTGAGTCTCCAAAGCGGTCCCCTGCATGCTGAAAGACAGAAAACTTAAGGGGTTGAGAGAATGAGAGATTGATTGGAAGGCAAATTATAAACCCATTTCAGTTCTTGGCCTGCAGGCTGGGAAGTAACATTATTTGTTGTCAGGGATGGAAAACAACTCAGATTCGGGTCCAAGCGATTATTCCACGTTGACACTGCTGCCTGTCTGCCAACTGAAGCTTCGTTTAGACATAGATTAATTAGGCTGGCAGAGGGGGAAGTGTGCTGTGAGAGGGGGGCGGAAGCAGGTTGCTGTGCTGAGCCTCCACTTTGGAGGTCTGGAGATTTGCCCCCCCCCAGGAAGATGACAACTCACTTTCATTGCTAAACCCACAGCAAACCTGGTGGGAGAGTGTGGATAGGAAACACGCAACTTCTGTAGTAATACGCTGTACTTGTCTGCTGACTTTCTTAATGCCAGTGAGTCAGAAAACGACTTTCAAACTTAGTTGCTGGCAGGCTGTCCCCATGGAGACAGGGGGACCAGCTAACAATCTGTAGACCTGAGTGGCTTATCAATCTTTCCTTCTGCCTTGTATAAACCATGTTGGACTTTTTATTATTCCTGCATGTGAAATGGAGATGGTCGTATATATACACTCACATGGATATATTATGCCCATTACTTGAATTATGCGACAGATGGGATAAAAATAAGTTAGTCCGATGAAAACTGTATTCAGGCTCGGCAAGAGGGCTTTAATTCCTTACCAGAACCTTTCTCCCTGGCTTTCTCACAGGGAGTCTTTGACCTGTACATCTTTCACATTCGGCTTGTATCTCAGCTGACAACATCTGTTTCCTCACTGGCCGGGACAGTGTGGGGTCCATCTGTAACTCACCCCACAACCACCTTAGTGAGGGCAAGATGGGAGTGGAGATCCCTCGGGTCGGGGGTGGGGAGCCTGGGGATTATCGACAGCACCCAGTCCATCCTCTGCAGTGGACTGGGCTCCTTGGCAGGAGCCCATCCCGCCAGCCAGCGTAGCATCTCCCAGTGGGCTCTCTGCAGCAGGCTGGGTTGGTGCTGTTCCGGGCTGCGGTGGGCAGTCGCAGCACGACTCGGAGAGGGAGCCCTGGCAGCGTGTGGATTCTCTCCTCTCCACGAAAACTCAGATGGAGATTTTTCTCTTTTACGGTTAACACTTCATTGCACGGATTTTTCCCCCCTTCCAGCGGTGGCATTGAGCTGAACACGGCGCTTGCAGAAGGGGGCGGTACTTTCTGTCTGGACCCTGACTTGGAAGCCAAGTGCGACTCCAGGGCAGTCACCACCAGAAGCAGATGTGCGAGCAAGCAGCTGTGTGCCTTTCTTTCTCCCGAGGTTAGCTTGTTTGGGGTTGCTCTTCTCCACGTGGAAGTGCTGTATTTGGCCCTTCCTCCTTCCTCCGCGGGGCTTCTCGCGCGCTTTAATGTTGATGGTTTCGTTTTAAAAACAAGTATTTTTCATTTACTTATTAAAAGAGGAGGGGGTACTTTGCTGCTCTAAGGTGGGGCAATACGTTCAGATGAATTGTGAACTATATACTAACATGCATTTTACCGTCAGTAAATCTCACCTATATTTAAAGCATGGAAATTTACAGGGGTTACCTCCTGTTTGTTTTCTTCTTACCATTTTAGACTCTTTCCCATTACAAGGAGAGAAGCCAAGATTGTTTATTAGCCACTGAAGGACTTGCATAGCACTTACTCTTGCAGGTAAGTGGTCTGTTTAACACAGGTGACTTAGAAAACATACCTTATATGGTCTGCACCATTGGGGCCTCCAAACTATGTACGGCAGGTGTTCAATTCATCTTGCTTTTAATAGTTATATTAATGAAAAGTTAGTTCAAGGTATCAATTTTTTTTAAGTAGCTCAATTACTTTTCTTGGAATCTTCTCATCCACTGGCTATAATACTTATTTCAATTTTGAAACTCTTTTAGTATTTCTGTTGTCTTAGAGTGTCAATCAACAGCATAGCTGGAAGGGCTTTGTAATTCTTTATGAAAGAAAAAAATCTATCCACGTATTCAGGAATGCAGTTGAGACAGAATACTAACCTTTCTGAAATATGGGTACAGTGATTTTGATCAAGCTACAAAATAATTGTTCAAGTAAAATGGTTTGGGAAGATGAATGCCCTCTTGTGACATCCCTAAGGCTGTTCATAGGAACTATTTGAGAATAGCTTCCTTATGAATATATACTGTTGGTGTAGACCTTGGAATAAATGTAAAATTCTGATAGCCTGTTCTGCTCTTATAACCAATACTTTTAGGCTTCTTTGCTATAAAATATTTAATTACAACTGGCAAGGTCAATGTTTAAAAACTGTAATTCCAGAACTTCAAAAACCTTATAAGGCAGGAGAATTAGGAGTTTAGGGTCATCCAGGCCAGCCTGGGCTACAAGCAATCCTGCCTCAATATAAACAAGATCCTCTGTGACATCATTAACACTGGAGCATGAATGGGAAATTATGCACATCCTTCCTGCTTTCAGCACTGAAACCTTTTCTCAGTTTTCTCTAGAAATACAAATGAAAAGTAACAGAAATGAAGACAGGTGGGCTGTGCCCAGCAGACACCTTTGTGTTTGAAAACTGCTGCTTCCTCCGGACTCATTTTCATAGAGGTTTTGTTCATGATTTTGCATTATTGAGAATGGGAGGTGGTTCTAGCCTTGTTATCCCGATTAAGATAAAAGTAGAAGCTAAGTTATATTACTTGATTTTGCATTAGTGAACTGCTTTGTATGAAGATGATAGGAAGTATGGAGTTTTAAAAGGGAGCACATTTGAGTTGTTTCCAGAAAACATATAAACAACCCCAGCAAAAAGAGATTACATCTTCACAAACTCTTCTCTGAGAAGCCAGTCAAGGGGGGCTATGAAGACTGGTTGGGGCCAACTTCAGGGCACAGAGAGTGGTTCTCACCTTGAGTCTTAGGATGCTTAATGCTTTCAAGAATGACTTGGGCCGGCGGTGGTGGCGCACGCCTTTAATCCCAGCACTCGGGAGGCAGAGGCAGGCGGATCTCTGTGAGTTCGAGGCCAGGCTGGACCAATAGCCTCCAAAACAATACAGAGAAACCCTGTCTCGTAAAACCAAAAAAAAAAAAAAAAAGAATGACTTGGATGGTGCAAAAGGGAATGCTGTCATTTAGAAATCACAGGAGCCATAACTGTTAATGCCATGAGATGATAGTAGAAATGAGCCAGAGTGAAAATTAGCAGGAGAGGCAATCAAAAGCTAATCAAAGTCTACTTGGGAAAACACAGAGCTGGGGGGATGTTTGTTTTCTAAAGCTGTTGGGGTAACAGGATGGGGCAGTACCTCAGCAGTGCAGGGCAGGCTGTGGGGCAGACATTGGATAGGAATAACAATATAATTCTGTTGAAATATAACGCAGCACCAGGGGACATTGGCAGCAGCCAGGAGGCCTGCTAGGTGAGTGCTGGCTTGGGAAAGTTGCCAGCTACTCTGTACTTCACTGTAAGGACTCAGGCTTGGACATCTGGCAGCAGTGATGGGCAGGTGCTCACCTAGCACAGGGCTGCTCAACGTGGAATTGCATGGGGAGGGAGGCCCTGGTCCTTGTTTCTGACATTTAATAGTGGTAGGCTCTCCATGTTTTACAGTGCGAATATCCTTGTGCCCCGTGTTGCTTTTCTTGTAGTGGTGATGGGGCAGCTGTCCAAACGTCTCAAGGGAGGAAGGACTGGTTCTGGAACACAGTTCTGGACACATAGTTTGCTGTGGTGGTGAAGCATGGTGGCAGAAGCTGCTGCAGCTTCAGCGGTAGGACTGTGAAGTAGGTGGCTATATCATAGACACAGCCAGGAAGTAGGGATTGGAGTGGGGGCCAGAAGGAACTTGAGAGGTTGGTAACTCATAAACCCCACCCCTAGAGATCTAAATCAAGATTCTGGAGCCAAAATACCCCACAGCATCCCAGTTGGAATAATAGTGTACCGGAAACAGCTACAGCCATAGTGAGTAGGGGAGGAATGGACCAAAGCAGGGATGAGAACATGCGACATTGCTAGAAGGATCAGACTAGTTGGAGACCAAGTATTCAAACACATGAACTGATGGGGGCCACTGTACAGTCAAACCATAATTAAGTCCTACGTGCCTTCAGCCTGGAGCCTGCCCCAATGTGGTCCCTTCTCAGGGAATTGACCCTTGCCAGTTTCATTCTCCTGGTGCTTGCTGCAGCGTGCACTGATGTATTTCCGGCATCTGCATTTCCATACCCACAGTTCCTTTCTTCTTGTTAAGGAAGCTCTCCTCCCTGAGTGCAGCCTCTGCCCCTATTTACACCGTCATGCCCTTGGTCACACTGGCCTTGTCTTCTCACCTTCTGACCCCTTCTCTTGTCCATTCCTCCCCTACTCACTTTGACTGAAGCTGCGGACCTCCACACTATTCTTCCTGCCAGAATTGGCTGTCATCTTGCGACCCCTCAGGGAACTCTTACTCACCCTTTAAAGCTCACTTCCACAGCAGTCTACAGAGCCCAGACATCACCCTACATGAACATTGCTTGGCTCTGACAGCCAGGCTACAGCTCCTGTGTGGTGCCAAGTGAAGGGGCGAATGAGTGAATGGAAAAGCTAGCAAAGGAATATCTCACACCTGGACATGTCTCCTCTCCTTGCATTCCCTAGACACCTTTGTTGCATCTTTTCCTGGGGAGGCATTAATGAACATCTATTCACCCCAGGTAAAGCAACAATGCCAACACATACCTGATTCTACCTAAGTCTTGCTTGGTGAACCAATGAGTTTACTGGTCACTTACAGGAATAAGGATGAGAGGTCACATATAGGACCATGGGTGACTCATATGGAGCTTTGTCACCAAAAAGACCATCCCGGTAAGAGTGATGAGTCACCTCACAGACACCACATCCTGGGGGTGTGTTGCACAAGTGGCCGTCATCTCCATAAGTCTCTTCTTCCTCAGCGATGGCTTACTGTTTACACAGCCTTATGGAGGAGGACTTGTGGATTTTACATATTTCGGAATTTCCCAAGGCTGGTAAGTTTCCTTAGTTTTCTGAGTCTTAAGAGGCCTCCTCATTCCTCGAGGAGAGAGTGTTTCAGTTCGGAGGAAACATCCATGTAACATCCTTTTACATTCTGCTCACGGGCATGGCATCTCACTGCTTACCCAGTGTGCTCTTGAGTCCACACTCTCCTTTCTCATGTCAGCAGTTCAGCTCTTCCGGGAGCACGTTGGGAACAGGGATTATGTATGTAGACATCTAACCTTGAAAGTCTTTGGGGTTCTTCTACGAGTTAAAAAAATCACAGCTACCAATTAGCATGAAGTGAAAAACAGAGTGGGCATTAGACATAAGCATAACTACACGGTTCAAGATGACTGCCACTAGTGACAAAGGTGGACCTGGGAGATTACTTCACCTGGGGCCTGGGAAGATGGCTCAGGGGGTAAAGGGCTTGTAGCACACGTATCCCAGTTTAGATCCTCAGCACCCACAGCACGAAACTGTAGCGCTAACCCCAGAACATTCTGTCTAGTAAGCCTAGCTAAAAGAGCAAGTTCTAGGTTTAATGAGGTGCCCTGTCTCAAAAATTAAGGGAGAGAACAAGGGGGAAAGTTCATCAGGGTGGGTTTGTAGAGATGGTACGCATCTTCTACTAGACTTCCCTTTATTCCAGCTGACCCTTCCCTGTCTCTTGCTTCTCATCTTTCCCGTTCTGTCTGGGGACTGCTTCTTGAAGGCCCCTTCCCATGAGGCTAATTGTTTTGCTTCAAGATTGTGTTTCACTCTCTCTTTAAGCTTCTCACTCTTTAGTCTTTCTTGGGACTCAACTGACATAGAGTGATAAAGGTTGTGTCAGGAGTCTTTTCTTGATTCCCTGTGGCTAGGGCTGTTGTGCCTCTCTTTTTTTTTTGTTGTTGTTGTTCTCAATGATATTTGTCTACTCATTGTATATGATAGTCTGGGCATCATTGACCTCAGAAAAGACATGCTCTTTGTTTTTAGGATCTAGTAAATATCTGTTGCGATCTGTCTTAGAATGATTTATAGTATCTGAAAATTCTCTTTAGATCCTAGCTCTGTCAGCATTTTAATTTGCTCAGTTTGGTACTGTGCCCACCTGTTCTCTTCCATTCCTTAAAAAAAAAGAAAAAAGCCCTTTGTGGGAGACTAGGTATTTGAACCAGGCAACCAAACCCCAGAGCTTCTGAGTTAAACATGTCTAAAGGGAAGCAAAGAAAGTGGAGGCAACCCCAGATCTATTTTCAGCTGAATACAATATGGTCTGTCCTCACATTGGGTATTATTCAGCTTTAAAAGGAATAGACACTAGTTAAACTATGGACGAGCCTTACAGACATGATGCTAAGTGAGATAAACCAGTAAGAAGCCAACAGCTTCTATATGATGCCTCACAGCTATGAGTTACCCAGAATAGTCCCCCTGACAGAGAGCAGGATGCAATTGCCAGAGACAGGGAAGAATGGGGAGTTGCTTAGTTGAATGACTCAGGAGACTGGTTAAGTGAGCATGCTTGGTACCTTAAACTGTGGGTGTGGTTTACACTCTTCAACTTACAGATGGCTAGAACGGTCGGTTTTTAAGTTGCATGTGGTTCGTCACAATTAAAAGTCCAAAGAACCTACTTCCACAGTGATGTCATTTAAAAAGGAAAAGTAAAAGAGGTTTCTTTGGTGTA